CTAAAATACTATTATCGTATTGATAATAATGACTATTTCAATAAGATTTTCCAAAAAATATTTAATGTACAGATTCGACTCAATTAGAATTTTATTATGTGTATAGACTTGGACCACCTTAATACCTACAAGGTAAATCTAGTAGAGCTTTCAAATATTGTATTTATAAAAGCTGCATAAAAGCTTCAAAGTAAACACCGATTTTCGAAAGCGTTTATCCTTACAGACAATGTTACCATATTTTATATATTAGACACTTGTAAGGTTGTAGGGTCAGGGAGAAAGTGGCGCCGCACCACGCCATGTAGGGGCTTTGTAATACACAATGTTGAAAATTATTATTAATAGTGCGGTGTTCGACGAGCCTGATCAGCTTCTTTGTTTAGTAGAAAGGATATCGATTAATATATGTGTTAAATGATGTAAATATCGCCTTGTGAAGACGCCTAACGATGATTTGTTACCTAATTATGAGTTAGTTTCCCGTTACTATTGTTTGTTTTTATGATTGGATATTGTTTTGAGGTAGAAGATGTTATGAAATATATCAGAGCTGTATAAGTTTTGATATATTTTAAACTTTTGCTGGTTTATTGAACTGTGAATATCTGTCTATATTATCTACATATAAAAATCGACGTGTCTATGTATGCTCTCTATGGACTGAAAATGGCTGGAGCGATTTTGATGAAATTTTAGGCGAACTTCAGATTAGCCTAGCGGGTGATCTTGTGAAATTTGGTAGCGATCGGCAGTTTGAACGCAGACGAAACCGCATGTACTGCTAGTGTTTTGTATTATCCATTGTTTATTAGTTTTGTCATAGAATAGATTATGTTAATAGTTTTATTTTTCAGGTAAATTTTATAATCGGCTGACTGGATATTGTATTTTTTAGTTCTCAGTCAAATTACAATGAAATATAATAGCAGCATACATAAATTATAACAGTTCAAGTCATACGGTATGAGAATTAGCCAACAAAACATCTTATACGTTAGCAAGTACACAACTGACGGAGTAATATCTCTCGTGGGAGAGAATAAATAGTTAACACTTAACCGTTGTGCTGTGGGTACATGGGAACATGATGTCCGTAACGGGACAGCTTTTATCATTGCGAATATTAAATATTGCTAAACGATGATGATTTTATGTTTATAGCTATTAATATGTATGTTTATGTCTGTCCGACTTATTAGCAATATGTTGTTTACTTAGTCTTAGGTTATTACTTCTAGGTGAAAGATCCTAGCGGTCCAATTGAGTTGTTCGTGTTGGTCATATCATTTTGATGCAATTTAATAATTATAAATGAAAAATATAAAAAAAACCCCTACGCAAATTAATTGTCATTAAATATTACACTGGCCACGCGTGAAGCACTAAATCGAGTAATCATACGCCAAAATGCCTTACATCATTTTGGAAAGGAGCTGATACTCTTACACTGCTGGACCGATATTAACCAAACATAGCTAAGAACCAATTCAAGGAAACTGGCTTTCAAATTAAATAAACCGCATCGAAATCGGTCCATCCGTTTGAGAGCTACGATGCCACAGACAGACACACACACAGACAGACAGACATCGACGTCAAACTAATAACACCCCTCTTTTTGCGTCGGGGGTTAAAAGGGTAAAATGATAATGCTTAAAAATGTACCAATTAACTAAATCACAGAAAGATTCAGAGTGACATTATATTATACTAGCGGACCCGACAGACGTTGTCCTGTCTACACGTCTTTAATTTGAAAATTTCAAACTTTTTTTAATAATTTTTTTGATGAAAATTATTATTCAAATTGTGAATCTAAACCATTCCCAGATCCCCTTGAACTGACACAAAAAATTTCATCAAAATCGGTCCAGTCGTTTGAGAGAAGTTCAGTGACATACACACTCACAGAAGAATTATATATATAAAGATTTGATTGTATATGAAACTAGCGACTCACTCTCGGACCGCTCGGATTCGTCCCTAGTTGCGTTTCAACGTTTAGTAGAGATTTCTCAGAGATGAGATATTTTCCCGCAGTAAAAAGTATCCTATATGTTGATCTGGACAACCAGCTATCATCATACCAAATTTCATCAAAATCTGTTCCGTGGCTTTCTCGTGATGAACCAGACAGACATAAAATTCTAAAAACTAGATTCGACCTCTGTATCGATAATAATGATTATTTCAATATTTTCCAAATAATATTTAATGTACAGATTCGACTCGGTTAGAATATTATTATATCTATATTCTATACACATACATTTTACATACATTTTTTTGTGTGTAGGCACATGTTTTATAAAGGAAAATAGTAAAATCTAAGTTATTAACAGTTCAAAAAACTTAGAAAAGATAGTATTGTAGATTTGATCCCAGTCTGAATTAATAAGTATTATGCTTTAGCCTATAATTCTTAAGATAAGATTACATTAGACGAGACGCGACACTAGAAAGCGAGTATATTTAGACCTTTGCCATTGAGTCAGACGTCACAATATTTGACAAAGGGTATCTAGATGCTGAGTCATGCGATACTGGGGTTCAAAGACTATGTGAACTTGTAAAACTATTATTTTAATTCTTAATATTAAATATTGAAGATCGTTTGGTAGTTTGTTATTTGTTGGTAGTGCTAATTGAATCGTGATAAGACTGAAGAAGTAAAACTTTAGGGTCGATAAATAAACAATAAATCAGAATTGATATAAATCTGTCGTAGCTAAATTACAATTACGTATTCTACTTGTTCTTTACTCTCAAGGTATCTTATGATGAAGAAAAACATTATGAGGAAACCTGCATGTCTAAGAGAACCTAGGAAGTTGTCGAAAGACATGTGAAATCAGCCAATCCGCACTTGGGCAATGTGGTGACTGGTGGTCTATGGCCAGATTCCCTTTATAGGAAAGAGAAGCTCGTGCCCAGCAGAGGACAGTGTAATAATGACGTACATACATTCTCCGTCAATCATAATCAATTCAAATAATTTTATTTACTAATAGCGGCTTACCTTCGCTTCACTCGCGTTCGCCTCTAGGAAAACAAAAACAAACCTATCCCACCGGAACCGTATATTTTTACGGGATAAAAAGAAGCCTATGTAGTATTCCAGACTATAATCTATCTCTGTGCCAAATTTCATCCAGACCCGTTCAGCCGTTCTGGCGTGATTGAGTAACAAACATCCAAACATCCATACTCACTAACTTTCATATTTATAATATTAGTATAGATAAACTATAAAATGTTCACAATCCAATCTACACTCTTCTAATATGAATTTAAATATATAATTGAGTTATTTGGTCATTTAAATTTACATATTTATTTACAACTTTAAGTTTTTTACGCAGCATCTGATGTTACTTAATCGGGCTGTTACAAAATTGCGATATAATATATTGTCTGGTCGTCTAGGCGCCGGTCAGGACTGTGATCGTTTATTGCATATAATATTTACGCTTCGTGACAAAACAATGAGAGTCTATTGTCCCTTGTTTATTAGTTTGTAACTTAACAGAAATAATAAATTAAAATATTATCTTACATAACTTTGTTGTAGACCTTTGAAATGGTATAGTTTTCACTGGAACTGCTTATTTGTATAGGAACTCTCATGAGCCATATCCCCGTACTTGGCCAATGTTTATATTGGCGCAGGGCGCTGTTATCATATCATATTAAAAGTTTATAACCTAAAGATCGAGCTGTAAAGCCTTGAATTGTCAGTAAATTACAGAGGCATAATTAATTTAATGGATAATCGTAGGAAATTATATTCTGGGCTAATTTTATAATAACATGATTACAAATCTTTTACTGTGACCACAGCTATTATTATTTGATAACCTATTATTTAGACTAGTCATTGGTCACGGTAATGTCGAGCAAGGAGTGAACAAAGCATAAGCAAAATGCGCTTGCGCAACTTGTGCGTTTGGCGCCAGGTCACTTCGCAGTTCTGGTGATCTATATTCATCTCAGGAAGAATAATTATATAAAGGTAAAAAAGAGAATAAAATAAATATTAATAAAAAGTTAGAATAATTCAGGATATAATATTTCAATAAACAGATTAAGTTTGTAACTAAAATAGGATATGTACTAAATAATTACGTAGAAATTGATTTAGACGACAGCTGTTTTTGTCCAAATTTTTTACTCATATAATGCGACATTTCTGATATTTTACATCATATAATGAACAAGAGTTTATAACAACATACTTATTACTTATAAATCTATACGTAAGGTAACTTTTTAAATAAACTAAATATATTACGGAAATGTGTAAATGCACTTCCACGTGAAACAAATGCAGAAATCACACTCAGCCCGCTCGTCTGATGACCGGACAGTTAGCTATGATAGATCGTAGTTGGGTTATCCGTGCAATTTTGACCAGTTAGGTCGTTAATATTAAATCTCCGTCATGATTCATAATAGTGCCCGTTACGTGTGAAGGGGGCTTTGGAGTAACAGAGCGTGACCGAAGCGACTTGCAACACGCAATAGTATCACACGTGCCCATCAAGGTCATAAGGATTAGGCGCTCGGCTATCAGAATTTAACTGGGTCTTTGTCTAAAACGTCAATACTAAAATAGTAAGATAATGTAACTAACGGTCATTAAAGTAATTGTGTTAGCTTCTTGTAAATGGGGGCTGTCGGTTTTGGAACATGTTAGGTTGTACTGCATTTGCATTGTTTAGACTAGCGTTTTACCTCGGCTCTGCATTCGTAGTTCAATTATGTATTACTATATATTTAAATATTATCGCCTATATCTTTCTTTGTTGTATAAACTATTACTATAAAGTTTCAACAAAATCTGTTTAGTAGTTTTTGCGTGAAAGAGTAACAAACATCTATCCATCAATCCGTCCATATATCCTTATATATTTTTATTAACTTTAATTTATCTAGAGTGAATATGAAATGTTTCTGTGCACATTTTGCTAATTATACTTTAATTATGTTCTCTACAGAGGATGATGAGGAAATCGGGGCTTTATCAGAAGGTTCAGAAACGTCTGAAGGAGGTCGCGCGGATACAGACGATGAGGGTATTGAAAGGGACGCTGAACCACCACCAAGACGACGCCGACCTGTGAGGCGGTTTATGTTGAAGGACGTTATAGAGGTAAGTGCACAGCATAGATACATACATATGTTTTCAAGCTATATGGGACTTTAATGGGACTTTCACTGACAAATGGAGGATTTGGGCGAAAGTGATGTAAATCACTTTCTATCTCGGAAACAAGAAAGGATCACTCTCTCATATTGTAAAAGAAAAGGAAATTCACTGACGGGTAGAGGGTTTGAGTGTGACAGACACACATATACATAATTGTGTGTTGTTGTGTACTGTAACAAAAGCGAGTGGGGCCGCGGTTGATCGAAAACAAGAAAATAGCACTAACATAACACTTCATTTCCAATATAATAATTATTTTGTGAGGATAAAATAAAACATTATGCCAAGTCACTAATTAATTCAATTTTTACAAGCGACATTAACATTTAGAATATTCTTCTAATCGTTAGGTAATCATTTCCGTGTTTCTAAATACCATCGTATGTAGTCTACAATTTATTGTCATATTTTATTGTTATTATACGCATAAGTATTAGATGATAGAAAGTTGATTGTAATCGATCGGTTTTGCTGTATAGTACAGAAGATGCATTTTTAAATTGAGTTTAATAGGTATTATGTAATGCTCATATTTAAAACGGTAATTTGTATGGCTTAACATTTTTTAAATGTGGCCTGTGTGTTGGAGTTGTTGAATTTTGGCATTTATATAGAAGAATCTTCATGGTTTAATCATTTTAGACCATCTAGATATACTGCACCATTGACTTTTAAGCTTTTGTAATTTATTTACTTTGTTCCATCTAATCTAGATGCATATGAAGTGTAAGTGTTCTAAGTACTCAAAATTCATTAGGTGTTGTTTTATAGTTGTAATTAAACCCATCATTTACGATAGTTCAAACTTGTAACCCATTAGATTGCTGTGTTGCATCACAAAGCCATAAGTGCACAGTGACATTTACTTTCACTCCTCACGGGAATGTATGGGATAATCCAGTTTATAGACCTGTTAAGTGTATTCTGTCGGGTGATTAAAATATTACGTTAATAGGTACCTACTTAGGTAGTATGAATTTTCATAACTTTTAGCAATCTCGAAATAGATTGCCTGGTGAAAGTGTGCGCTTTATTTATTAATTTGTGCTTATTGCATATTAGTCAGTTATGTTTTGTTAAATAATTGAATCGATATCATCTGGATTAAGTCTTTTAAAAAAATGTAAGTTTTGCTTTAGATCTTTTTGTGAGTTTTTAACCCCCGACGCAAAATGACGGGGTGTTATAAGTTTGGCGTGTCTGTGTGTGGCATCGTAGCTCTCAAACGGATGAACCGATTTTGATTTTGTTTTTCTTGTTTGAAAGGTGAATTAGTCGGGAATGCTCTTAGCCATGTTTGATGAAAATTGATCCAAGATTGCCGCTGTCAAAAAAATGGCGGATTACATATTTTTTCACATCCCTGAATATGGGTATCAAATGAAAATTATGATAAACTTCAAATCCAAGATGGCCGCCGCCACAAAATGGCGAATTACATGTCGGGGGTTTTTTAAATTTTAAATTTTATTTTATCTACTGTTAAGTTCGTCTAAAATCTAAATCTTATCACTTTTTACAAGTTTATGTACCACAAAATAAATTATTTGTGTTGTGGCATTTTTTATAGTAAAATAGTTTTAATGTTTATACATGTCTAAAGGCATAACTGTAGCATGTATATCCAATTATTTAGTCCTCAAGTTATGTTAATATGTAATATATTATACATAGTTCATATCTATTTAGTATTTACTTTAGATTCCATTGCAAGTACGCAATTTCAGTCGCCTTTAATTATAAATTTTCTGGCCGAATGCGGCCTGGCGGCTGCTTATACTGGCTAGCCAATTACGTAGGAATATCATATCAAGATACAACATTGTTTACACCAGCGCGAAAATATATTGTATACCTATACCCTTCCTTCCGGTTTTTCTTTGATTTGGTAAATGCAACTTTACCCATAATGCTTAGCATTTTCTATATAAAAAGTTACGTAAATAATGTTAAAATGCGGACAAATTATATTAGCATTTATGATTATAAGGCAACTCAATAAAATAACTTTCGGTGAGCTTTTATTAACTAATTCGTATGCTAATACATATATATGTATAATTAAATTAATTGGAATAGATAATTAATTGCTCATAAGTCAACTAAAGCAGTAGCTTTTTGATTAGAACATAAACATCTCATATTTTACCTTTATTATCTCTATTACATCTTTGATGAAGATGAAGATGATGAAGAGTGGTACTCCTTTGATTATTCTAAACTAAGTTTATTATCATGCTTAGGAAAAATTTATTATGCAATTTTTTTTTATTATTTTTTATATATAAAAACACTATAGGCAGTGGTAGCCCAGTGGTAACGCGCTCGCTTGGGGAACCGAGTGAAGCGAGTTGAAATCCCGGGTCTTGCACCTGATATTTTCATGTGCGAATCATTTCTAACATGATTACCACTTGTCTTCACCACGGCGAAGGAAAATAACGTGAGGAAACCTGCGTGCTGAGAGAACTTAGCAAGTTTTCAAAAGACATGTGAAGTCCGCCAACTCGCACTTGGCCAGCGTGGTGGACTATGGCCTGATTCTCCTCGTACTGAAGGGAGGTCCGATCCCAGCAGTGGGACGTTAAAAAGGACTGATTACATACAATACATACCTACAATATACTTAGGGATTTAGTGTCTTATAGAGGCGGACGTGAAAAGTCTTACAAAATGTCTTCAGCAAATTGTGGAACTGGAACTTTATTACTGCGGCAATGAAAGTTTGAGTATCCAGACGGCTGAAGTAATATTAAGTAGGTAGTTAAATATATTTTTTTACTAGTAACTTTTGCCATGACACGCAGTGACTTCCGATATTTTAAAATATCTGATATACCGCACTATGTCGATTATTTGTATTACTGTACACTGTACTGTATGTAGTATGTATAATGTACATATGTAGGTATGTACGACCCGGTTTTATATCATAATCCCTCCACGACCGCGGACACGCCGGCGTTACAGTTAACAATAGATTTCTTAGAAATTTAATTAATTTCTTAGAAATTTACCTGGAGGTGTTAATGTGGAGTTGGAAAGGAAGTTGGAGTTTAAAATATCCGCATAATAACTTAATACCGATTGAAAGCGGAGCCTTATAATTTCATTATGGGGAAAATATTTACCTACACATGTTAGTCATATATTGCTCCGAAAAAGAAGTATCAAAATAAATTAAAATTAGAAAAGGCAACTAAGTTTAATAGTTATTTATATGTGAAACGTGATTTAAGCCACTGCTGTCATATTTGCATCACGTTATAAAGAAAGTGTTTGAAATTTAATCTAAGATGAATAAATCTTTACTTAAAAACTATAGAAATCTAAATTTCTAGTATTACGATCTAACTAACATGAATAATAATATTATATAATTCATGCAAATATAATAATTAAGAACGCTATCGGGGTGAAGAGTCTGTATATCTTTACTATACCTGAACAGAACATAGAAGAATAATAAATAAATATGTTGGGACATTAACATACAGCACCATCTAGTTCCATGGTAAGCTACGAGGTTTGTGTTAAGGATGCCAGATAGTTGAAACACTACACATATGTAACTTTAAATACATACATATTATAAATATAAACACCCATGACTGGAGTACAAGCATTCGTGTTTATCACACAAATGAGTGCTTCCAACGGGACTTGAACCCGCAACTGCTGGAACAGCAAGAATGGTTACTACAAACAGAGCCAAACGTGTCGTCAAAATATTCAGAAGGTTATCTTTGTGTCAAATCTATAATAAATCTTAATAATTACATATAGGAGTCACTAATATTTGCTAATGAGGTAATTAAGAAATACAATAAATCAAAGTCTCAACGCGTGTGCTGTTACTGCTTTGACTTCGATAAGTAAAGCACTCAAGCAAGCCACATATTAATAATATGTAAATTTGAGAAATTATGGATTTTCTCCATCGTATGTTCATTCCAATTATTTCGTCACACCAACAGTTACTATCACGTCTAACTAGGAATTTTGTTAAAACTATAGACTAAAACCAGTAAGTCTCATACATATATCAAGTAAGTCATCTTTTATAATAGGTACTGTAGAAAAGGGAAGTTCGAATTGTTTTAACTTTATTTATATTCTTTCTTTACATAAGTTAGTACGTTTTGTTACGATTATGGCCTAAAGCTCAATTTTCATTAATATTTTTTTTATCTAAAAGTATTTTGCTTTCTTTAATTCAATCAATTTACACAGATAGAAATTTAGTAGGTAAGTCCAATTAAAACGTTTCGGCCCGTATCAATTTAGTTCGCAAATTTAATTCGCATTTCATTTCAATAAACATTTTCTATATCCCTTGTAAATGAAATTGCGAGAAAATAACAATTTATTTAAACATCCAAAAAATATAATTCAAACTGCATTTAACAAGATGTAAGTCTATATCTCTCGCACCTCAGATATTTTCATATGCGAATCATTTATAACTTGATTACCACTTGCTTTACGGTGAAGGAGAACTTCGTGAGGAAACCTGCATGTTTGAGAACACCAAGCAGATTTTCGTAAGACATGTGAAGTCTGCCAACTCGCACTTGGCCAGCGTGGTGTACTATGGCCTGGTCCCTCTCGTATTGAAGAGTGCCCAGTGCCCAGCAGTGGGACGTTAAAAAAGGGCTGAATACAAGTCTATATCTGTGTATGAACATATATACATACATAACTCGAAACATAAATATGACAAGAGGCGTGACTTGATATGTCAGTGACAAGCATTATTCTAATAGGTTTTGTAAGATGACTTGATAAGTGGTCTAAAATGTGCGTACTAAACTAGCTCAAGAGAACCTACTACAGGGTACCTCAAGTGTTTGGCAAATAGAGATTTGTACGAAAATATTACCAAGTTACTTGCGGCTTGAATGCAACTTAGAGATATTTTTATACTACGTTTTGCTCCTAGG